ATCGGGTTGACCAATCAACTCAGACACATATCCATACATTTCGCAGTACAATACCTTTAAATAGATCTGATGTTTTGTTGAAAAAAAAACTTGTAAGAAGGTCTTCAGGTTTACAAGGTATTGTTGTGAATAGAGCATGCCACTCTTCAGGTTTACAAGGTATTGTTGTGAATAGAGCATGCCACTCTTCTAACTGAAAAGTCATGAAATTAAGTCGACAGTTGCTTTATTTCGTTTGATATCATTTGTCATAAACTGTTCATTAGTGCGATAACTCTGGAGTCTGGATCATATTTTTTTGTGAATTATCGCATAATTTACAGATTTTTAAAACAAAATATATGGTCTCAGATGGGTCTCCGATGGAATGTCAGTGGAGTTCGAGTTCCCAATTGGTAAAATTCTTTGGTAAAAATCAGTCTCCGATGAAAAGCTTGGGTCTCCAAGGAATATCTTGGGATCTCCTATAAATATTTTAGGGTCTCTTAAGAAAATCTTAGTGTCTCTGTGAAATCGCAGTGGGGTCTTCAAAAAAAGGTCCTGCGATAGAAAAGTTTTGGGTCTCCAATAAATATCTGAAAAGTTTGGGGTCTTCATTCGAAAAATCAGGATAGTACTCCAATATTTATGATTTTTCCCAGTGCCCCCCCCCCTCTACATAATTCCATTCTTTTCCACTTGATCAAGTTTTATAGCATTTTTAAATAATCCTTAATTTTCTGTTACTATGTACTAGACATATTTATTTTGTATCAAACCCGTGCAGATTCTCACGTTTCTTTGCAATTTGTAAAATATGCATATTTCTATCAGCTAAAGATTCACGTATGCCTTCCCTAAAAGCATGAAGTCCATGCAGATCCAGCGCGAAATTGTAAATACAAATGTAGATATTCATTTTTTATTGAGTTAATAATATATACAAGGTTATCAATAAAGGATGAGAGTGTAAAGACGACCTGAAACTTCTCAAGTTCGAATGAAGTCTTCTGCTTCTTTAATTAAGAACTCATGATAATCTGTAATTGTTTTTAATCTATATAATACATAATAAAACAAGACATTTGTATATAAATATATTTATGTTGCGTATAGCCGGCCAATCGATTGAACTGAAATTTTATTNGGGGCGTAGGCTAAAAATTCATTTTTGAATTTAAAAAAAAAATTTATTTTTCATGCAATGATTCACAAAAGCATGATCCAGACTGCAAAGTGTTTATGATATTTAAATGATATCTTTAGAAATAAGGCGAAACTCTTGACGTAATTTCATAACTTCTTATTTAATAGAGTTTTATGCTCTTTTCACAACAATTCCTTTTAAACCTGAATGCGAATACAATAAAGAAGATTAATTTTATTTATTTCAATTTTTGATTTTAATTTTAAATTTATATAGACCAAGTCGACTTTGAAGTGTCACAAACGTTGGCCTTTTATTCTACCTCAATAAGCTTTAGGCACGAATTATACTATAAGCCATACAGCAATTGTTTATAGCGCTAGATTTTCAGAGTAATTGGAAAAATTCTCATATATTTTTGGTTGAGTCCCGTGGAAAAAGAGTTCTTAAATTAAAAGGACTCTCTGAAAAAAGTCCAGTATGTTTTAGACTTAACTTTCTATGTCTTTTTTTTCTTGTTTCAGCAAATAAAATAGTCCTTAAATATAAAGTTCTTGGGACCTGAACCTGATTATACAATTTCATTTGCTTAAATAAATTGTATATATCTGTAATTGCCCGATGGGCTTGAGAATTGGTTCAAATTTTTTTATTCAAGGAAATTATTTCTTCTATACTTGAAACTATTAAAATGGAATCATCAAAATGCTGAAATATTTAATGTTTACAAGTCTCTCTGTTATGATTCATAATTTATGAATTACATTTAGATAACAACAATTTTTTAATGGAAAGTTTCAATTGGCTATCTTTGAAGATTTGTTAAGATTTGGATGGAATTGAAATTTGTACTCATATTTTTCGCGGTTTTTTGTGATATCTCTTTAGTTTAACAATAGATTTTTAGAAACTTTTGGAAAATAATAGAGCTTTCATTTTCTAAACGATTTCCAATGAATATTTCTACACTAAAACAACAGTTTTAAAGATTTTTTCTATGACCAAAAAATATTTTTCTATTTGGTTCACTTTTTTGCAATATTTTACCACCATAAATCTTATTCCCTGCAAACATTTTTGAGGGGTTTTGTGAAATAACACTTATCCTGTTTTTTAATCTCAATCTTTACAAAATTCGAAAATCAGTCGAAAAATAGACTCTGAAATTATGTCCCATTAGAAAATTGTTATGAAATTTAGGTACGCATATTAACTGCTGATTTTTCTTCACCGAGAACCCTTTTCAGCTGTATGTAAGTTAGAGCTGATAAATATTAAGTTAGAGCTAATAAAATATTAAGTAAAAGTTAGAGCTGATAAAACATTAAGTTAGAGCTAATAAAATGTTAAGTTAGAGCTGATAAAATATTAAGTTAGAGCTGATAAAATATTAAGTTAGAGATGATAAAATATTAAGTTAGAGCTGATAAAATATTAAGTTAGAGATGATAAAATATTAAGTTAGAGCTAATAAAAAGAATAATCTAAAAATAAAAAGAATATGTTTCCATGTGTCCTATGCAGTATATATATATATAACTCAATAATTGTCACCATGAATATAATCACGTCTGCTTGGGAAAATTTTGATGTGCAAATTGCAAAATATGAGAATAAACAATTTGCCTAGACTGCTATTCTACAAGGAGAGGGATCGAAGTTTAACCGTCCGGGAGGGGGGAGGGGACAGGAGCACTTTTTCGATAAACTCCTAATTTTCGATCAAGGGGTTTTTGATATTGTATTGTGACCCTTTCAGTCCTCATACGGACCCGGAGCTAAGATTTAACCAGTGTAAGCTCAAAGCTCAGAATAGGGATAGTTCAAATGATGTAACCCCTTCAGTTCTCATACGAACAGGTTGAGAAAATAAAAATTAATCTTATTATCAAAAATAAGTAATCTTGTTAAATTATTTGTTTCTATTTTCTCATTATTCTGGTTTCTTATTATTTAAAGATTTTCCGCGGATTTTCTGGAATTATTATTGAAAAGACACTTGAAGAATTTAAAGAAATCTGCGAATAAATTCAAAGAAAATAAGAAATTCAATATAATGATGAAAACGAAATAATTGATTCTAGCATTGATTTATTGACAAATTTCTTTTGAGAAATATGTTCCTAACCATCTAATTAGATTACTGTATAATTTTAACTGTATTTTTCGTCTTCGTTATTTAATGATTTAAAAGAAATCGATTCTGAAAACGTATCCACCTCCAAAGAAGGAGTTTTAAACGTCGAATTTGGGCTCAAGCTCAGGATTTACAGATCTTTAAAAAGTTTTATATTTCTAAAATGAATCCGAAAGCAGTTTTCCACAACACTGCATACTCAGTTCAACTACCTTACATAGCCGGTCACTCCCTTTAACAATTAAACATTAAATGGTTTTCAGACAGAAGAATCCGTATGATCGGAAAATATGGTCACTAAGAATGATAGACCATTAAAAAACTTTCGAAACTAATGGTCGAAAATTTTTTAAGAATAAGTCTACTTCCTAGATGCTGCAGAGCTAGGAATGACATGCTGAGAAAAGTTTCCGGAATGGTTATTCCGCATATATTTGATATAATCCGCATATATTTGATATATTCCGCATATATTTGATATATTTCGCATATATTTGATATATTCCGCATATATTTGATATATTTCGCATATATTTGATATGGAATATATATATTCCGCATATATTTGATATGGAATATATATATTCCGCATATATTTGATATGGAATAATTATATTCCGCATATATTTGATATGGAATATATATATTCCGCATATATTTGATATGAAATAATTATATTCCGCATATATTTGATATGGAATATATATATTCCGCATATATTTGATATGGAATATATATATTCCGCATATATTTGATATGGAATATATATATTCCGCATATATTTGATATGGAATAATCATACCTTAATATGTTAAACAGGTTGTTTTATTGGAGTCTTTTTCTCCTTCTGTAGTTAAAAAAATTCAAAGAACATTTTGGGTTTACATTAAAAATTTTCAAAAGTGTAATTGGCTTCATCTTAATCATAAAAATGAAAATATTAAAAAGTAGCACTTTCTTTCTTAGGAAGTATTTCAATCAGCTTTATTTTCTTTAGATTTTAAGTACATTTCTGGTTCATTTTTAGATTTAAAGTATATTTCTAGTCCATTTTCAGATTTTAAGTATATTTCTGGTCCATTTTCAGATTTTAAGTATATTTCTGGTCCATGTTTAGATTTTAAGTATATTTCTGGTCCATTTTCAGATTTTAAGTATATTTCTGGTCTATTTTCAGATTTTAAGTATATTTCTGGTCCATTTTCAGATTTTAGTATATTTCTGGTCCATTTTCAGATTTAAGTATATTTCTGGTCCATTTTCAGATTTAAGTTTATTTCTGGTCCATTTTCATATTTTAAGTATATTTCTGGTCCATTTTCAGATTTTAAGTATTTTTCTGGTCCATATTCAGATTTTAAGTATATTTCTAGTCCAAATTCAGATTTTAAGTATATTTCCAGTCCATTTTCAGATTTTAAGTATATTTCTGGTCCATTTTTAGATTTTAAGTATATTTCTGGTCCATTTTTAGATTTTAAGTATATTTCTGGTCCATTTTCAGATTTTAAGTATATTTCTGGTCCATTTTCAGATTTTAAGTACTTTTCTGGTCCATTTTTAGATTTTAAGTATATTTCTAGTCCATTTTCATAAATGTTTGATTGCTTGTAATACAGTTTCTTTTAATGTTGATCAGGCAAATTCTCTGCTTCCTATGTATAATAAAAGCTAAAATTATTCTAAATTTTTTTATTTGTGGAAACACATGTGGCTGAAGTACTATGGACTCTGGTGGTGTATATAAGAGAGATCTGGACAGGAGATTCTTCAGTTACAGTTCGTGATCAGAGCATCACACTGAAAGCGAAAGATCTCAGCCATATAGGTACATAGCTATACATAAAGCTTTTTCAATATTCTCATCACTATGCGAAAAATGTACATTTAATTTTAAAAAGAACCTACTGAAGATTACTGATTTTGTAATAGACTAAATCTTCCCCTAATCTTTTTACAAATTTAGGATACAAATTACCCCACAAGGTGATCAAACGTAATAATGAGAGGCATAGCCTTGCTGATAGCTGCCATAGCCCAAACTTCAGTCTTGGGCAAAAGTGTTTTTCCCATTCCAGATCCCTATAGATGGGACGAATCATTCACTGTAGAGGTAATAAAATCATCTTTATTCATTACTTAAGAAAAAATATCATTAATTTTATCCTGTTTAGCTGCCAAGAATTGATGATGAGCACAGGGGACTTTTCAATGCCCTTCTTCTTATTGAACGAAAAAATACAGAAGAGAATCTCCAAGACGCCATTGTGAAGTACAGAGATCATTTCAAATATGAAGAGGGACAATTTTCCCAGACAATGGACAATGATTACAATAAAGAACATAAGAAAAAGCATGCCAAACTGATGGATCGCATGGAGGATTGGAATGCCCCTGTCCCTTCAGCTGAGCTAGCTTGGGCAAAGGATTGGCTTGTTCAGCACATCAAGAACACAGATTTTGACTACATAGGAAACATGCCTCATCGTGTTCCAAATCCATATCACTGGGATGATAGTTTTGAAGTCTTCTATGCTAGACTTGATGATGAACACAAACAACTTTTTGATGCCATCAGAGAAGTTGCAAATCACCCAGAGAGTACTGAGGCTCTATCAGACCTTTTGTTCAAAATGAGAGCTCACTTTGATTATGAACAAGACTTTTTCTGTGATTCAGACACCTATCAAGATTGTGAATCTCACAAAGACAAGCATGAAACATTTTATAAGAAACTTTATAGCTTCAAAGTTCCAGTTCCAAAAAGTCATGCAGATTGGGCAAAGAATTGGCTTGTTCAGCATATAAAGAACACAGATTTTCAATACAAACACAAGTTAAATACGTACCAGCATGATGTACCCAGACCATACATTTGGGATAAATCCTTTGAGGTTTACTACAAACAACTTGATGATGAACATGTTGGACTCTTTGATGCCATCAGAGAATGCGTTGATAGTCCTGATGATGCAGAGAAGTTTGAAAATCTTAAAAATCTTATGAAAGAACATTTTGATTATGAAGAGGCTGAGTTCAGTAAGATCCCTGACTTTGATTCATATGCAGCAGATCATATTCAAAAGCACGCTGACTTCATGGAGAAACTTAATTCTGCATCTGTTCCCCTTGATTGTGATTTTGTCAACTATATTCAGAATTGGCTTGCTCAACATATCAAAAATACTGACTTTGGCTACAAGAGTAAAATGGTTCATGATATTCCTGAACCCTACACTTGGGATGAAAGCTTTATGACCTTCTACAAACAGCTAGATGATGAACACAAAGGACTGTTTGATTGCATCAGGGAATGTGGAGAAGATCCAAACAACCAAGAAAAATACTCAAATTGTAAAAGTCTGTTGAGACGTCATTTTGACTATGAAGAGTCTGAATTTTGCAAAGTTCTTGACTATGACTGTCATGGACACTACCTCAAGCATTTTAATTTCCAAACCAAATTCCAATCTGCTAAGCTACCTCTTGATAAGAACATGATTAGCTTTGCAAAGAACTGGCTAGCTCAACATATCAAGAACACTGATCATGCTTACAGAGGAAAGATGAACTTGAGAAGACACTTTACAGTCCCTAATCCTTATGTTTGGGATAACTCATTCACTGTTGATATTGAACAAATGGATAAGGAGCATGTGGGGCTCTTTGATAGTATTAGAGCTGTAGAGGCTCAGCCTGAGGACCAAGCAGTTTGGGATAATTTGAATAAACTGTTCAATGAACATTTTGCTGAAGAGGAAAATTTGTTTTCCCAGATTCAGGATCAAAAACATGATATTGCTGATCACAAACAGAGGCATTTGGGTCTTATGAGCACCATTCAAGGAACAACTGTTCCTGTTAGTAAGGAGATGACAGAATTTATCAAGAACTGGCTAGTTCAACACATTAAGAATACTGATTTCTCATACAAGGGGAAAATGCCAAAAGTTCATCCTATCCCTGAACCCTTTGAGTGGGATGCATCATTTGCTGTATTTGTAAGTATTATAAATGTTTTCCTTATCAAATTATTGTATTAATATCTTTTATTATTTAGTATCCGGAAATGGATGATGAACACAAGCCTCTGTTTGATTGCCTTGAAAAGCTTGAATCTTCTCCATCTGATGACAGTGTACTTCAAACATGTCTTGAAAATTATTCACATCACTTTGAGCATGAAGAAGAACTTCTGTCCAAGTCCAGTCTGTACCCTGCTGAAGAGTTGTATCAACATAAAAATAAACACAATGCATTCCTCACTGTGTTAAAAGGGGTTTCAACTCCTGTCACACAATCCTGGATTGACTATGCTAAGAATTGGTTAACTCAACACATCAAGAACACTGACTCAAGATACAAGAACAAGATGCCTCATCCTGTGGCAGATCCATATGTTTGGGATGAGTCATTTTTAGTCAACGTAAGTATCAATTGTTTAATGTTATAAAATCTAAACTTTTATTAAAGATCTTTATCTTTCTTAGTACAAGCAACTTGATGATGAACATGTTGAACTCTTCAAAGCCCTCCAAGATTTGGCAGATAATCCTAATGATGTTGATATCCTGAACTATAACAGAGATGTATTCCGTGATCACTTTGACTATGAAGAGGCTAAATTTATGGCTTGTGGAGTCCCTTGCAATGCTGAAGATCATAAGAAAAAGCATGATATCTTCTTCAAAACTTTGACATGGGTAACCAACCCTGTTTCTAAAGAATACCTGGAATTTGCAAAGAACTGGTAAGAAAAACACATTTTTTATCAAAGCAATTAAATCAATTTATTTAATTTATTTCAGGCTTGCTCAACACATCAAGAATACAGACTTTCTTTATAAATACAAGTTACCTTCCGATCACAAAGTCCCAAATCCTTATGATTGGAACAGTGACTTTGAAGTATTTGTAAGTATCAGTTTATAGTTATTTTAGTTTTATTCAAAGCAATGTACTGATCTTATTTTTTCTGATAGTATGAGAAGCTCGATGAAGAACATAAGGGACTATTCACTGCTATGAGAGAAGTTGAGGAAGATTTATTCAGCCAAAACAAAGTTGATGAACTCAAAGACCTTTTGAGAGATCATTTTGTGTATGAAGAAGGACAGATCTGTGACTCCAAAGATATTGACTGGGAGTACTGCAAAGAGCACAAGAAGAAGCATGTTCTCTTTAGTGAAAAGCTGGCCAAGATGGACGCACCAGTGGATGAAGCTGAAATTAAATGGGCTCAAAATTGGCTGGTTCAACATATCAGAAACACTGATTTTGGATACAAAGGAAAACTTTCTCATCCAATTCCGGAGCCTTATGTTTGGGATTCTTCTTTTGCAACCAACTATCAGAAACTAGATGATGAACATGATGTACTGTTCCAGAACATTCTTGCTGTTTCCCAGAAACCTGATGATGCTGCTACCCTTGAAAACCTGAAAAATCTCCTCAAAAACCATTTTGAATATGAAGAGGGCAAGTTCTGTGCTGTTCCTAACTTCAACTGTGTAGACCATAAGATGAAACATTATAAATTCTTTGTAGTATTTGAACAGCAACAGGTTCCTGTTGGATGTGAAGAGATTAACTTTGCCAAGAACTGGTTGGCTCAACACATCAAGAATACTGATCATCAATATAAGAACCGTCTTTAAATCTACATAATCTTGGCAATGTTTGGACAATGATATTATAATTTAAACTGTTAGTAATGGAAATGTTTATAATGTTTTAAAATAAATACTACTGCATCACAATGTTAACTTTCAGCTTAGGAATTAAGTCTAGATTTTTTGCATGTTTGAAATTATTAAGAAAGTGGTAGGAGTAGACTAGACTAATCAAATCATATAGATCCCAAAAAAGTATACATGTGTGCTGTTTGGGCTTAGTTGATTTAATCTCAACTAGCTGGAGTGCCTGGCGTTGATCAGGTTTAAATTATAATAAATTGATATAGTTACTCCCACCATTGTATTTAATCATGATTAAAGCTGAAGGGCCAGGTATTGCCATAAAATTTAAATTTTTTAGCCTATGTTGCCTCTAGCAAATTTGGCCCCATTTTTAGGCCAGCTTTATAGCTAACATATATATAAGCAAAGTGCTTTATTAAATTATTATACAGGTTTATAAAACTTTATTTATAATCTTTAATTCTGAACAATGTGTAATTATCTAATTTTTAATTCTAAATATGAATACATTTTAAGGAACTAAATATGTGTGTTTAACATTATGAAAACAAAGGTATATATTGAGATAGATTAATATAAACGTGTAATTGGACATTTGATTCTAGTGGCTTTATAAAATGCAACTGAAGATAGTATGCTCTGGCTAGAAAATAAAAAAAAACAAAACATAATAAAAAAAGGAAAATATGATATGCAATCAACTTTAGATAGTAATCAAACTTCATTTCATTCAGAACAAATAGCTGATATCCATGTATACAAGATCAGACGAAGCAAACTAAAAAAACATTTTGTATTTGTAGATCCACCAATGTATAGAGATCTTTTTTAATATTCTTTATCTTAGTATCCAGACATTTCAGCAAAGGTTTGCTCCAACTCTTCTGTAATTGCCTTGAACTTTTCCTGTTCTGAAACTAGTTCATCCTCAAGACGGTCAACCTTAATGATAAAAAAGTCTAGTTTTTTCTTCTTCAAATTAATGAATTATGGAGTTACCTCTTTTTGAAGCTTCTGCACTGATCTTTCAGCAAACTCAGCTCTTGCCTCTGCTTGCTTTAATTTAGCTGTCATACTTTTAATCTGCTCCTTATATGCCTGTTCTCTTTGATTGGCTTTCTCTTCAGAGACCTCCAAAGATTTCAAATTATTGCCGACAACCCTTAGTTCTTCCTCTAACTCCATGATCTTAGTTTCTCCAGTCTCAGCCCGTTCTTCAGCTCGATCCAGATCCGTTTCACACTGCTGCAGTTTCTTAGCAACCTCATCGTACTTTTTATCCGCCTCTTCAGCTTGATTCCTTGCTTCTTTCAATTCTTCCTCCAGCTTTATCATTCTCTTCTCATCTTCAATGCTTCGATTCTCTAGAACCTTTTTCATTCTTTCACTGTCATCAGCAGCTGTTGCTGCCTTATCCAGCTTCTGATTGGCAAGCAGTAACCTCTCCTCTGTCTTCTCCAAGTCCTCTTCAAGACCTTGTACTCTACGGTTCAATGCATTTACCTCAGACTCTGCGGCCATTAAAGCTTTTTCTTTCTCCTCCAGCTGCATTGTGACTATAGACAATCTAGCCAAAACATATTAATTTGCAAAAAGGAATAACACTCTGCTTCATGATCATGATACTTAAATGTGAATTTGCACAAGAAAGATGTTTAACAAAAATGAATCCGCTAAAGACAGACACAAAAGTGGATTCACTCTAAACTTTTATGTTTGCTTCATAAATATTACCTTTCATTGGTAATATCCAGCTCTGTTTCCAGCTGTTGAGCTTTTTTAACCAAATCTGCCACTTCTTCCTCAGCCTTCTCTGCTCTCACCTGATTAAAGTGTTAAAGAACGTCAAGAGATTGAATTAAAGTACAATTCAGACTAGACCAGTTAAGGCACCCAGCTTTGCCTAAAAACTGAAGTTTAACTGTGATATAGTCAACCGACTTAACTCAGAACATTTTACCAATCTAAGAATAGACTAAACCTTACTTCAAATATTTGGCAAATAGGAACATGGGTTTATGAGTTATGATCGGACAACCAAACAAACAGATAGACAGAGATTATTTCTTTTTATGATATCACTTTATATACTTTATATATATATATATATATAGATATTTTGAGTGAAATAGTGTTGCTTTTGAAAGTAAAAAATATTGCTTTTTGGGATAAACTTTGGTGGAAGGTTTATAGTTATAAATATATTTAAAAATCCGTGTTTTCAGAATAAATGTGACAAAATTAAATTTATTTTTAACGATATAAAGAATTCTAATAATAATGCATACTGCAACCCTTTGAATCTTTCTCTAATGTATGATAACAGAGATATTTTTTTCTTTAAAGTTAACAACTGCACAGAATTAAGGTCGACGAGGCTTTAAGAAGGCAATTCATAATTGTGTTATTATAATTAGATAATGTAATTCATACTGAAATGTGAAAACGTTAATGTCATTTGATTAAAATATGTATTTTTGTTTCTGACCCTGAAATCCAAACTGAATGCAAGCTTGTTTAAAAGATATCGGAGAGTTAATGTTTTTCTACATGACGACGACATTTGTTTAATGCTCTCATCAAGTAAGAATTTTCTATATCTAACCTTGGTGGATCCGCATTTGAACTACTGCCGTTTGAACTATGGTACGTTTGAACTATTGCTCGTTTGCACTATTGTTCATTTGAACTACTGACATGACGTCATATCCTGTAGTTTAAATCAACGCATTTCTTACTCATTTGAACTATTTTTCTACCCCAATTCAGTTTTAAAATTTTTTTTATAATCTCCATAAAGTTATATTCATGACAATTAATTAGATAAACATTACACAGAATGAACATAAAAATAGTTCAAATGAACATAAAAATAGTTCAAATGAACATAAAAATAGTTCAAATGAA